TCTTTTCTCCTCCAGAATTTAAGCGGACCATCTAAGCTTAGCTTGTTTTTTTTTTCTTCCAGCATGCTTCTCTCTGGGCATAGTAACAGTATAACAATGGTCCTGAATTCTGAAAGGCTCAGTTATGTTCAATTCTCTGCCAAGACAGCTGTACATTCTTACTACTTCTGGTTATAATTGGTTTAACTGCCTTCTCTGATTTAACACACTCAATATTGTTGCACATAGCAATGGCAAGAGTAGAAATTAAAAAAAAAAAAATTTAAATGTTTTCACTGATGAGATGGAATCAATTACTGGCTCTTTACAACTGAGTGCAAATACCTGAGACAAATACCAACCTGACTCTGTGCTGCTGACTGACTGACCAGCCTTCAAAGAGGAGCTACTTGTTTCCAATAGTTTAGCAGCTGGGATGGCCAATGCAACTGCTACCTTCACTGAACTATGTTGGATAATAATCCGTCATTTCTATACAGTGTTCAAGACAACATTCTTTATATTAATATTTGCCTCCTAAATATATAAATATATAATATTTGCCTCCTAAAACTCACGTGGAAGTCAGTCAAACTTGTTACAAATGTCAAGAGGTATAATTACGATTACTGAGTTAAGGTCTGCGGAAAGAAATAGTTCCCCTCTGTTACAAGCCATTAGTACTGCCAGCTTTAGTTGAAACTTAAAACACACCTGGATTTAAGGCTCATCTTCAGTTCTCAATACATAGGAGAGCAAACTAAGTTTCACCTCTGAAGGTGGTTAACCAGTCCCTAGACTGGTTTCACTTTGCATGTTTTGATTTGCCTGCATCTCACTTGTGTTACTTATGATTTTCTTCCACTTGCCCCCAGCAATGTTATCACAGCAACAAACAGGCTGGGTCCTGAACAGCTACAATGCCAACATAACTCCAGTTGTATGGGATGCATCACTGGCTCTTACATAAATAACAGGAGCCAGCTGGATTCCCAGTCCTAGTGAGATTGTAGCAGCAAAAAAATCCAGCTTTCAACTCAAACCAAATCATTGATGCTGAAAAATTTACCAAGACAGGTCAAGTACTTAACATCATAAATCACAACAATGTCTCATTTACCATGACAAGAACCAAGCTGTCTCATTTTCCCTACAGTCAATTTAAATAACAGCAAGAATCAAGTGGCTCTATGCTACAGCTTTCCAGAACTCCATTCCAAGAATCAATTTGTCATCTTTGTGTATGTATACTATGACCCTGAAAAGTCTGCTTATTGTGTCTTTTTATTATCATTGTTTAAAAAGCTCCTTTATCTCCAAAACTATCTGACATTCATTGATTTTGCGGCTAAACAGAGCAAGAGCAACATTCACCAAACTGTTGACAAGCATCTGCAACACTTTCTCATTGAAGTTTTCAACCACAGAGACTCTTAATTGGAAAAGAGATCCAAAAGTTTATTTTTGCAGAAAGGAGACTTCTCCATCTCTCCTGCTCACCTTGCTCTAGTATATATTAAAGCCAAATATGATGATATACAAGATATTAATGCACATTGTCACCTGAGTTCTCTGAAGAGAGTCTATATGCTCAACATGTTCAACACTCTTGAGGATAACTGTTCGTTTGAAGAAATTCTCAAGGGGATCACAGATTTATGTTTTAAGACGCCATGATGGTCTTCTACCCAATTACAGTACAAGACAAGGAATACAAAGTAAAATAGGACAAACAGAATATTGATCTGATAATGTAGAGGAGCTGTAGTTCTGGAAGCACCACTACCAAAAACTCATAAGATGGCTCTGCCATTGCTTTAGCTGTTGGCATAGTTTTTGCAGTCTGGATGAAGGAACAAGTAATATATTCTTAAAATTAGACTGCTGTAACTGTCTTCAGGGTGACTGAAGTCTGCTAGTCACTTACATGCATACACATACAAAGAATTAACAGATTAATTTGAATAGAAATCAAGACAAAAGGAAACTACTGTGCCAACTAAGGCAGCACATTTACACATAAGCACGTCTTACATTCTCTGTAGAGAAGCTTCTCATAGCATCTGTATTTTGTCTGTGCTGCCTCCTACCAATATCCTATTGAGTCACTGGCAACTTGCTGGAAAAATCTGAAAGGAGACATTCACTTTTTTTAGTTTTATATAAAGTTTTAGTAATTACATGTTATATTGGAAGTTTAGAGTCTTCAAATGCTTCTTTAGATTTAGAAATAAGCTAGACAATTAACATATTCTTGCAAAATGATATACAAAAACACTTTCATCTTCAAAAACTACTTGGTTCCTATTACTTGTTCCTCAGCTACAGACTATCTCGATCCGACATGACTATTTCCACGACGATCTGATGCCACGGAAGACAGCAGATTTTACAAATAGCACGTGGTAAACAGAAGCAGGCAGACAAAGAAGCTGTAAAGGCTGTTTTCAAGAAAGCATTCTTGAAGCTATTAAAAGATTCAGATGTGGTCCAAAACATGAGGTTGGAATCTAGCCATCTACTGTCCTGATTCCAGCTCCAACTCCTGTGCTGTTGTAAAACCACTGCTCTATCTCAGTTTCCTTTACCAATTAGTTCAGCTTAACTAACTTAAAAGCAATGAAATTTCTGTAGTACACAGTCACTTCAGAGGTGCTTACCAGTGACCCAGTTTAACACTATTTCTCCACTTGTATTTCAAAGTTAACAACTATCACGAGCACCTATCTACTCCTTATTAACTCATAGTCAAACCAACTGCAGGCAGTGGTCCTTCAGAGCCTCACTTGTAATCCCACACAGAATCCAAAGTTTTTCAGCCAAAGCCCTTAGACAAAGAGAAAATTTTGTCATCACACTTGTTATCACTAATCAGCTGCTTAGTTCACCCAACTGAACTTTTGCCAACTTTGTCCACAAAAAATGTCTGCAAAGTAATATTATCTCTAAAGTCTTAAGGCAATTTTGAAAATGCATGACTGGGAAACAGCACTCTGCAGAAAATAAATAGGAAGGCACTTTCATGCAGAAATCATCCTATAAAGTGTTTTTAATTCAAAATTGACTTAGACGCTTAAAAGGCCAGTAACACTTGCATGAGACCTGTAGCTGAGAAATTCTTTAAGATTTGACAAGGTTCTGGCTATCCAACTGTTATATCCATCACTTATGACTTCTTGGACATAAGACACCTATTGAACACCAGAAGCACTCATTTTCTCGTTAGAAATAGGTGCCTAGGAATTCTGGTACTTCTTGGCACCAAATTAGTAGGATGTAGCTCAACATGCATTTTAAGCAACATGAGAACAAAAACAATCTTTTGAGTTTCTTTTTTTTGCCATATTGGTTCCTAATCTGGTTTGCCGTTCAGCTCAGATGGATCTTGCTGGCATAATGGCAGGAGAACAGTGTGGAATGGAAGTTACTTCCATTCTCCTGGCTTCAACAAGTACCACACTGTAGCCTCAGAAAGAGACAAAAAATGCCCGAGTTTAAATACTGCAAACAGAAATCAGTTACACATTCCTTGCTTCCCCCTTCATTAAGCAAAACAGACACTGGAAGAAACCCAAAACAAGCAACGCCTAAGAAGACCACAGATTGTTGGCAAATCATCAGCTATAAAAATCTCAAACAATTACTTTTACAACTACAGCAAGACAACTTTTTGTGTAGTGTGAAGCTTGCTTAATACCTGTACTTGAGAGCAGGGAGTCAACGCCTGGCTCTTGGTACAGGTGTCTCACATGGGCCACTCGGCAGCACTCAAAGCTAGCACAGACACAGACTGCTGACCAGATATACTTGCCTCGCTGATGATGTCTTCACTGAGCAACCACCACCAACTGCAGGCACTTAAATCTGTTCTCAGATAATATAAGCAAACCAAATGAAAATACTTATAACAGGAAAATTCTCAAGTAATTTCTCCAGTGAGCTTTTCCACTGTAAGTTATCCAGCAGGTTGGTTGGTCAGATGATGCATGTTCAAAAGCCAATTCATTTCTTCAGCATACACCACCACCACCTCGTGGCCAGATGCCTCAAGCTCCAACAATTCAATATATACTGCAGTTACAATTCTGAGAGCCTCCAAACTAAATGCCACCAACAGATACTCAACAAACTACAATGGCATCCTGTGTGAGGTGCTCACAACTTTTTAATTACCGGTGAGGAAAAAGTAACCTACATGCAAACTGTACCATTTCAGCTCCAAGGCAGTTTAAAGAGCTATTTCTTCATGCTGTAACTGAAGGAAGCTTCTACCAATAGGCAAATGAGACACAAGAATCTGTCATTATGACTTTGAATGCTCAGAGAGTAGTACAAATTTCCCCTTTTTTATTTCTATTATGAAACAGAAAAACTAAGACAATAAAGACAAATATACTGCATTTCATCTCCTAGTCCATTAAGTTCACTGATGTTGAAAAATGCCTCCAGCTCCTCAAGTAAAAAGGGATGTCAGAAACATTTCCATATGTACTTTAACTTAGATGCAAATATCAAATTATACTAGAGATGAAAATTGAAAGCACTGTCCCTGCAATAAACTAGCACACAACTGTAAAAGATACAACAGCAAAATAGTCTGAAAGAAATGTTCAAAGTGGGGCAAATAACAAAGGACAGACAACGGAAAGAAAAAGAAGGTAGCTAGAATACCTTGACAAAGAACAAAAATCAGTAAAAGAAAATAAAGAAAATAAAAGAAAATAAAAAAGTCCAATGCAGTTTTATTTCCATATGCAAGAACTAAGCAGAAGAAACTAAATATAATGAATTCTGNTCTTAGACAGGACTAAGATGACTTATCTCTAGCTAAAAACTCTTTATATTGTTATTATGCTGATCTGCCAAGCAGAACTGTAAACTGGTTTACTGACCCAGAAATTCCAACCGTAATTCTACTAATAGTTAATTATGAAAGTGTCCATTGAATGTGTTATCTGTCAAAGTGATAAAGGCTCTTTTTGGCTTCCCCTTTCTACATGCTTACTTCTAGAAAGACTCACCAATAGTTGTACCATCTTCACCCATAATGCACTTCACAGAGGTGATGATTTGCTCTACAACAGGAGGTGACATTGATGTTGCATACGCAGCACTGTGAGAGTATGTCCTGAGGTAATCAATCAGTTCCTAGCAAAACACAAGAGGCCATCAGACATAACCTTCCCAGTACTCAGACAGATGCTTCTGTTGTATCTTTAATCACAATAAACCAGGGCACCACAAAAACATCTTTCAGAATGCCCCATAAGAAAACAAGTATCTCAAGGATTAATTTTACAAGGAACAGCAGGGACACGACAACTCATAATAATGTCACAGACTGAGAACGTGTGTTGATCAGAGACAAATACCTATGACAGACTTGTCTAGCTAACACCATCAGCAGTGGATTGCTACAAGGGTTTGCATTATGCTCACCGTACTTGAACTGTGCCCAGGATGAGTTTCAAAATGTTTATTATAACAGTGAGAATATAAAGAAAATGAAATAGTGGGGAGCAGGATCCATAGGTGTTTATAGATCATGCTCAATATACTTTTTTCCCCCACAAAAACCACCAAACAAGGGAACAGGTCACAAAATCTTCTCTCTCATTCATCAGGAGGTGTAATTTAAGAGTGCACAAACCTCAGTTTAATCCTTTTGCATTCCCACTTAAACACATATTCTATTTTTCTTAAGAGGGCAAAAGCAGCTCATATAGGAATGAAGGATCAACACACATCTAGGCTGCTTGTTAACTGTAACAAAACCAAGCTAAAATATTATAAACATCAGTGTGAATGCCAGGAGAGATTCTGTCTTTTGCTATCATAAAATTAATGACAGCTCTGTAGCTAGCAGAAGCTGCAAAAGTATTACAAAAATGTCTGGAAGTGTTCTGCTGCTGTCTGCCTAGGGTCAGAATTAAAGGAAAGGAAGTCGTAAAGGAACTTTGAAATAAACTAGGTAAGAAGATTTAAGGCTTCTTATCTCTGAAGCAATTCCTCAATCAGTAGCTAAAACAGTTGCAAAGGACTCTTAGCTGCTTTTACCTTGTGCCATGGAGTCAATCCCACTAGCTCACTACCTCTGGAGAAAGATTTATATGACTCTTTTTTTCCAGGGAAGTTGTTGGAAGTAATTTTTATCTAACCATAGTAAACATCCTACAAGGAATATCTCCAAGTTCCATCTCCATTTGGATGGATGGACGTAATTATCACAATTAATATGTAAAAAAATTTTCCTGGTAGGAAAATGGTAGAATTTTACCCTCCAATAAAGCTTAGAAGCCTGATCTGTGAGATCAGATAATTTATGATATGAGAAAAGTGACACAGGGAATTATCTACACCATCCCTCTGAGAAATAGAGTTTGGCAAGGGCAACACTTTCTAGCTGTACTTTCCAATCGAAAGAAACAGTAGTAAAAAAAAGGTCCCAAAATCCCCAAAAGAAACAAACAAAACCCAAAACAATCAACCAGCCAAAAAAGAAAAAGGGAAAAGGTGTCTTTTCAGAAAGCAAACTGCTTGTGCCCAGGGGAAACCAATTCTACCAGATTAACCTAAGAGGATTTTCCTCCAAACATGCTGAAAAACTTAAGCTTTTGGCATTCTTCCTTTAAGTCTCATGAAATGTAACATCAAGAAATCCCTGCTGCCTGGCTCCTAGCCCTTCCTAGAAAGATAGTACATTGCTACTGTACATTCTGCAAACTCAGATCATCACTGACCATATGAGAACTACACCATTAGGAGGTATTTTACCAGACTAGACTCTTCTGCACTGCCAACTTTCACAGTATTAGACAGCATGTAAAGTTATGAAATAAATGGGCATTAGGGTACCTGAGGCATAGATTAAATTTGAAATGCTTAATGAAGAATTCCACCAGCTGCCTGAAATAGACTTCACCACCAGCCATAAAATTCCCAGCTTTTTACCTTCTTGCCCCCAATGTATCCTCCTGCAGCTCCAAAGCTTTTGGTGAATGTTCCCATCATAACATCCACATCTTCAGGATTGAGTCCAAAATACTCCACTACACCCCGGCCACTGGGACCCAGGGCACCTATACTATGAGCTTCATCAAGGTACAGATAGGATTTGTACTTCTTCTTAAGGGCAATCACCTCAGGCAAACGGACTATGGATCCCTCCATACTGTTGAGAAACAAAAATTTAGTATAAGTTGATTTAATAGTTGGGACCACCTTACAGAGCCTATAGTCACTAGGCTTTCATTTCTTTACTCTTTCTGTAATTGCAAACACTTAAAATTTGCTAGACCCAGTCTGCTAGTCTGCAGAGATGCACCTCTCCCCCTTGCACCTGGGGCCCAGATCTCTGCTTTCTACCTGTTCAGCACCTCTGGGATGCTGACACACAGACTAAACAGTAGCAGTTACAGGAAGTTAGGGCACAAGAATGTGTTCAGTGATAGTTCATTTATAAAATTATCTCAGTTTTACTTCCACCCTAATGTCAGTATTCTGACTTGTCATCTACTTACCTGATGTTTCTAAGAACTGACCAGACTTTCATTAGTAACGCTCCAAAACACCGCATTTTGTACTGAAAGTCACTAGGATTTAAATGCCTAACACAGCTATGCCTACTGCTCCTCCTCATTCTTAGCAAAAACATTAAATTTGTGCAATTCCATTCACACTAGCATAATCTAGTGAGCACAGAAAGAATGGAATGGACAAGCAACTTAAGACCTCAGCTCTGATAAATAATCAGCTTTAATTAATTTCTACAATCTAATCAGGATGTGGGAAGCATTGTGATAACACCAGGTGCAGCAACAATTCTAGCAACAGAAAGCCCAGAATGTGAGACATACACAGTGTAATTTAATTCACAGATGAGACTAATGAAATAACTATGAAGTGACAGTATTCATAGTTTGATTTGGCAAAGAAACTCAAATGCTAAGCATTTAGATTGCATGTGGAGGGTCTTAGGAATATAAAGAATAGTTTGTACCTGTATATTCCTTCCACCAAGATAAGAATTTTTTTCCAGGGCCTCCGTGTACGAGGTTGCCCATGCACAATAGCATCTTTGAGCAGCTTCTCCAGGCTTTGCATATCTGCACCAGAAATTACTGTTAAATGGTACCAAAACAGCTACCAGCTTGAACTTTGACATGACTAAAGACAGCAATACTCCAGAAAGGCACAAACTGCTCCAGCATGGAGGACAGACCATATACAAGTCAGTAAGCAAAGGCTTCATCTACCTACAGGCCCCATGGATGAGATTGAAGGGAACAGGTGACTGTATGAACTCCAAGGATGAATTTCATCATTCTAAACTAAAAGCACAAGTTAGAGCATTAGGCACAAACAAAGAAAGTTGGAGGGGATGAAAAAAGGAAGGTATCTCATTCTGATGAAAAGAGAAGGCAATTTAGATAGTAAGAATGTCCTTGTGGACAGAAATAATTCAGAATAGAACAACAGAATAGAGCTAGAACACAACAAGTTCAAGGATAATCAAAGATAAGCAGAAGATAGACCAAAGTGCAGGAGAAGAAGCAGGGCAAGTGTAGCTTTTTATTTCTTTGTTTAAAATTGAAGAGATTGGAATTGGGAACAGGAAGCCTCTAAACCAAAGGAGAAAAGGAAAAAAAAAAGACAAGCACCAGTGTAGGAAAGAGGACCATGTTCAGCATATCAGAAACTAGACAGATGAAACTGTTAATAGAAATGTATTTTGAAATCTTACAAGTTTTGCTTACAAACATTTGATGTGATCTGAAGAGACCTAACTAATGTGAATAAATACATACATGTGGAATCAGTCCTGAAAAAAAACTCCAAGGAAAGGAGTGAGGATGGGATTAATCAAAGCATAAAAGCCAAGTGCTGAGCAAGAGACAGGTATAAACACTAGGGCACGAAAAAGAGCACAAATTAATCATGGAAGGAGAATTGGTAGACTAAGGCAGCTTTAGCAGCAAGAGGTGGTCGTGAACTAGATCTGGACTAAAAACTAAACAGCAAAGTAGGTCAGTTAATGGACTGTTTGTTAAAAGACAGCTAATGTTCAGAAAGTCAATGATTAAGAAATCAGCAGTGTAGTCCCTGTCTCCAACAGGTCTCTCAATGAAGGAAAGACAAGGTTAGTGCAGTTAGGGAGAACAATGGAAAATAAAGTTCTACTCTAATTTTTCACGAAGGAGGGGAAGATGAGTCTGAGCTTAATAAAAAGGACAAACTACAGAAGGAAAAATATCTACTAAGGCAGGAAGAATATAAAACATAAAAACACTGAACAAGGAATTTCAGGGCAATTTTTCATTTCCCCCCCCAATTTCTAAAAATCTGAATATGAATGAAGCCATTACATCTCAAGAAAATGACATTAAAGAGGCAACATAGAGTATAACAAGAGTAGGACTGAGAACACATACAGAAATATGAACTGAACACCATCTTGAAAGGCCGAGACCACTGTTTGCATTTTGCTTGTAATCTGCCATTACATTCTCTTCCAGAGAAACCCACAACCTAGAATGTTTCTAGAATATCCCACAATTTCACCAGGGCTAGTTTGTAGCCCATTCCCAAAAAACTTCTATTTTTCATCACAGCAGCTTCTAAGTCCTTCTCCCCATAGCCAGAACTATGTTTGTCACAAATGTTCTTTGAAATTCTGCAACTGGATGCAATGTTCAGAAGTGTGTCCATACAAATGCAGAAGCTGAATGCAAAGCTTTTGTGATCTTGCCCAGCAACCAAAATTTATGAAGAATTAAAAAGAAAAAATGAATGCTACAATAAGCTCTACTTTTTTGTAAAACAAATTATTCAAATGATAGAAAACAAGAAAGAGCAAACACAAAAGAAACAGTAAGCAGAGAGAATTCACACTATCAAGTAGGACAAAGAGAGAAAAATAATTGCAGTCACCCAAGTTTTGCTGTTACCACCACACACTTCTAAGAGAGCAAGAGTCATCGTGATCTCAGAGACTGACACTGTAAAGAGTATTGGGTGTACCTGAAGAATGAAGGTAGTTCTTACGAATCAAGAACAACCACATGCCTCTTTCATCACAAGTAAGAGAAGGAAATCTTAGGTAGTTTTAACCTGGAAGTTATTATAAATACCTCCTTTGGAAGAAGATGAAACTAGGAAATTTAAAATTCTGTGTATTTTGGAAGCAAATACTTAAATACTTAAAGCAAGTAATTCATTGAACTTAATCTATGCTTCACATTCCAAAAATTCTTTTAGTACTACATTGTGCCAATTCATGACTGTCTAGTTTAGCTAGGATATCTGCAATCATAAGCTTTTGTTACTGTAGGAGCATGCCGGCATCTACTTCTAAAATTAAACTTTCTTATTCTGCGAATTGTAACCTAGACCCCTACAAGACTGCATTATTACGTGACACACTGTCAGAACAGTCTAGCCATGCTGAGCTACCCAAGCATAGTAGAACAAGAAACAATGTTAAAACACCAGTGCCTCTAGACTTGTCAAAGGGTAGCATGTTCTCCATATGCAGAAGATGTAGGTCAGAACAGCTTCAGGATAAAAGTGTTATTAGTTGGGACTAAATGTACTTAAAAAATCTGATTCAGGATGATTCAACTTTCAGTAGCAGCAGTCTTCTGACCTTTAATGTAACTAGCAATTGATTTCCTTGCATGAAATTGGACTTTCAGCTTTTAGAAGATAGAAAATATTGTATCTGATCTATAGCATCTGCAGAAAGGCAGAGTCCATCATCTGATACTTACTGTTGTGCTTAAAGATTCGAATAGTTGCTCCTGACAATCTTGCTCCGAGCACTAGTGATGCATGATTCAGTTCATCACTCAGAATCAGACAGCCCTGAATTAGAAGGGGAAAGAGGAAGATATTGAAAAGATTATGTTTCACAGCCAAGCATGTAATACCTTTCAACTCTGAAGTTCTTCAATATCATTTAAGAAAAAAATTTCTAACATAAATGCAGCTAGTCCAGGCAAGACTTGCTAAGATCCAATTTCCATCCTTAGTACAGCAAATAAAAATACACAACTGCTCCTAACTGAAAGGACCACTCAAGTTTCACTTTTCCTGCAGTTCAATCTGCCTGAAAATCTCATGCTATTTATAAGTACTCATCCTCCTATGCAGTCAGATAAAACAGGGAGCAGAGCAGCCCACAGTTCTCTCAGCAAGTCAACAGTGATGCTAAGAAACAGGACATTGATAAGGCCTTTAACCTAGGTCTTCAAAGTTCCACTATTACTTTCATTAGGAGGCAACCACTGATTAAACCCATGTGTAGGTGGAGGCAATATACAAGAGACAAAGTGGAAAACGGAGTTGCATGGTGAAATGGAGAAGTTTTCTGAAGCTATTATCATGATACTAAATTAATTTGCTTTTTCCAAAAAATCCAGAAGATAGATCTTTGGACAAACATTAAAACAAGATATGTATGTTTTGAGAGCAGTGACGATTATAGATCAATAACTGATATGCTGAACATTCAGTCACAGCATTATCACTGTGGACTACGGGAATGTGTGTATATTGGGGGATTAAGATATAAGGGAGCAACAATATTTCTAAATAACCTTGGCCCACACCAATTACTATGTAAACCTACTGAAACTTTAGAAGTGATTTGCTCAGTTAAAAATCTAGAAAGGGTGTCAAGATGCTGAAGATCTAATACTGAAACATGCTCATTCCATGCTTCTCTAATAACAATGGATGGAGGGAAGAATCAAGAGGATTTCTTCTCTAAAATGGGAATTACTAGAAAGGACTGTGAAAAGTATTGCCTACAGTTAAACAAGCAGTATCACAGACAACAGGAGTACTTTCTCCAGAACAAAAGAAACTGCACTAGAACTGCAAAGTACCTAGAATCATTCTACATTCTGAGAAAGCTCAAGACTGTTTTATCCCAGAAATTGCAACAAATGCCACGTGTTCATACTGCTGCTACAAGCATTCACATTACATGTTTCATAGACTTTGACATATGAAGTATGGAGATTTCCAACTAGTGTTTGTTCTTTGGAACTACTATACCAAACAGAGTATGTATACATCAGAAGGCATTGCTTTCAAACGCTTCTGTATCAAAAAGCGTGAATATAATAATCCACTACTAATTAGTATCCAAAAAACTTTTCCATAAAAACAAGGACGAGCTTTTGGTGGACAAAGTAGACTTAAAAAATTGATGAGGGCAGCAGCTCTTTTCACCCTCTGCTAACAGGACATTCAATTAGAAACAAATTAATTTGAAACTGAAGAAATAGTAACTATTCTAGTACTGTCTGCCACTAGAGAGAGGGCAATGGATCACATAAGCCACTGGCACAGTACAGCAGTCACTGATGATTATATGTAAAATTCGGTGATGCTACTACAATAATTAGACTTCAGTTGCATTTATCTACAAATTTACATTTGAGAAAGCATCCAGGACAAGGCTAACAGGAACTGGAGATAACACTACTTGGGCTCTAGAAAAATATGTCAGTGAAGATCAGGCTTACCACCACATCCTGCAAGGCCGATTGAAGTGAATGCCACATTTTACTACAGAGTGCTACATATATGAATTGTGCAATTCAGTTCTGAGCACTTAATTTTACAACTCACCTATATATGGAAATTAATTTGCTTTCTGACAATCAAAAAACATGCTTCAAACATCATTGTTCTAACTCAATTGCCTAGTCTCTCTCAATCCAGAGCTATCAGAAAAGCTCTGAGTTAAAGGCAGTACAGAATGGTGTTATTACCTAGTTATATTAACTACATTAATGATACTGAATCCAAAATAGGCCAGTTTGAGAGTCTAGCTTAGCCTCAAATGGTCTAACAACTTCTGATTAAGTAACCCTCAAATTCCACATTATCTGTGGCTCGGCATACTTGGCAGTAACTGTACCAGGCACACAACAACTTGGCTGTGAACAGAGGGTCTCTGCTGCTGAAAACTGCCAGGTAAAGAAAGAACTGTTTTTAGTGATGCTTTAACAATGCTGAAATACAACTTTCAGTCTACACCAACTATACCTATTTTCAGCATCTGCTTAGTAAAGGCTGCTGTTAACAAGGCATAGTGAATAAAGATCAACTAAATAATAATGAAGCTTTTGAACTCCTTTTGCTAACTAATGCTGATCAAATTATGGCATAGAGATGGATCTAGGATAGTCAGACTGCATATGTTGCTATTAAAAGAGGATTCAGTAGAAACATAAACTAAGTGCTTCAGGATTCCATAGAGCAAAAAAAGAACAGGTGGTCTGGTATATGTAAGCAACTATACTCAGTAGCTTTTTAGCTAATTAAGTAGTAATAAAGGAGCCCAGATACCATTAATTTCAAAGATATCTTGTGTTCCAAGCAGTTTTGCAGCTGAAAACATAAGTAGGACATGCAAAAAGACACAAACAGTCATAAAAAAAAAGCCCAAGAATTTAATCAAGCATGAGAATCTCTGAGCTTTACTGAGGTCTGTCAAAGCATTGCCAAACAGGTTGTGCACACACAATTAATTGTGTACTGGGTGGTGCCAAAATTCAGGATTTATGTGTCCTTATTTGCAGACAATGGAGAAATCCAATGTGCAGCGAGAAGCAACTTCAGGCAGGCAAAAAAAACATTCAGTGAACATTCTGAACTGCAAGATGGTTTATTTGACAAGAGCTCCGCAATTTCTGTTTGGAGTATTCACCTGAGTATAAAGGCAGTTGTATTGTTATGAGGCCAAAGCTTCTTACTACTTTATTTCAAATGTACAAGAAACTAAGTATCCTCATGACTAACCCAGCATGGACTGCTGTACCCATTTATGACAAGAGCTGGTTTAGTAAAGTGAGCATAAAAACAGGTATGTTACATGCCTTGAAATTTACTGTTCAGATTCTCTCAATGGTTGTAAAACCTGCTGAAGCTCAAAGGTTAAAACTCAGGATCTGAGTAAGGTGCCTCAAGGGCATTCTCATAAGGTATTGAAGATACACAGTGGGCTCCACATGGAAAAAAAAGACTGAGTAAGTTTGCAGGAATGTATTTGTAGTGACAACAACGAGCAATGTATCTGTATTAAATGTATCTGACAGTGTGTACTGGATCTGAAAGGTCTCACAGAAATCATGAAGCATTTTCCTGTTGAACATAAAACAGGAGAGATGAGGAAAGACAAAGAGCCAAAAAATGGAGGGAAAAGATATGTCAGAAGTAACATATGTTGCTCAGATTCACAGCACTGCAGAAGTATTTGACTCCAGAAACATTAGATCTGAAGCACTGAATTTCTCTATTTCTCTCTAGCATCAGTCTCAAAAATGTTTTTTTTACTGTGCAAAGAATTTGATATTTAAAACGTAACACAGCAAAAGAAAAGGCACATTATGTAGACGGTGCTACTTCCTTGTTACAAAACAAAACAAACCAAACAAAACAAAACAAACAAAACAAAAAACCAAACCAAACCAAACAAACAAAAAAAAGCATGCCGGAAGACAGTGCAGCTAATCCAAAAGAGAATCACCAGGAAGAAAAGTTGCCAGGAAGAACAAGGCAGCAAATTTATGATCTGTAGATATCACAAGTGGAAGATTTACACAGTAATCTCAGGAAGTGAAAAAATAAATTAAATAAAAGGAAAATAATTCACTACACAGGGACAGAAAATTCTAACAGACTAGCAGTATTAGGCTGACTTAGTGAATAATTTTAAAAAAACCAAGAAAACAACAACAACAAAAAAGACCTGTTCCAGTACTTGCACTATTTTACTCTACGGAGGAGCTAAGAGATCATGTATTTTGCATCAGAAGAGGCAAAGAAAACTTTCACTTTTATTTCATTTTCCAATAACTAAAATAGCATAGTTGGAGATACTGGACACTCAGACTAATTGTCTACTCTTGTATGGGGCACACAATAAACCTCATGCGTCTTTACAGTTGACCTTATTTCCCTCAAACAACCTTTCTTCAAAAGAAGGATTTTTTTAGCTGTCACTCAAAGATAATAAATTCTCTATGTAGCGGCATGCAATTTAGATTATCTGTGTAGCTGACACAGTCGGTTTTTAGTGTCTCAAAAGCACCAAAATACCTTCAGCCAACCAGTCTGTTAATCAGCCACCATTTCACACACCAAGGAGTAGCCTGAGGAAGCAAGCCTTAACATGCTAGGCTTTCTCCCAGAGAGAAAGTTCTGGGCTGCTACTGGTTCCTTGGATGCTACTTCCAAAAGAGATTTTTGCAATGGTTAGAGATGCATACTGCAACCTACAGTTTCCACAGAGAATATCTGCAGGGGCTGCCACTGAGGAAATACAAAAGCAAGCAAGTAGCTTTTAGAAAAATTAACAACTAGGATCTTTGTTAGGTGAGCTTTTGTCCATGACTTAAGCCATACCTTGCCAACTAAAGCAGGAATGTTCATAGAGTTGGTTGCAAATCCCATTCCATATGCCATTGCAGATTCCACACCTAGGAACCTGGCAACTAGCTTTTCCAGCTCCTCATGCTTGTCCAAGTTTCCTGCACATAAAAAAAAATGGGAAATTCAGAGTAAGGAGAAGCTTTCACTATTCCTAAATTTTACAAAGAGAATTTCCACCAACCATGCTGTGCTTTATTTAAAGGCCCATAAGGGAACACTGAGCAAACCCCATATGTGAAAACATAAATTAAGACAACTGCTGTGAAATGTAAACTAAATCCAGGAAGTCAATTTGTCTTCACTGAAGTAACAGCTTCTTTGTCAGTTAGACTAAAGTTCAATGCTAAAACAATCAATGTTTTAAAGACCTGCAATCAGATACAGACTGTGAAATACACGTTCAGGGAACATACTATCATCCTCCAACTTACCCATCTCCTGTCTAGTGCTGCACACCCCAGCTCCATACTGAGACAGAACTTTAGCAGCTGCTTCTTGGCAAGGCCCAGTCTTCTGTGCAAACCCAAGGTAGTTGTAGGACCCCATATTTATGATATCTTTTATCACTCTCCCTGTGTATCTGTGTTTTAAAAACAGCACAAGTTAGGACACCCCAAATTTTTAAAATTATCTACACAAGGTATTTTTTCACTTTCCTAGACTATACATTGAAATGTTAAAATTCAATAGAACCAACCAATAAATTATTTCAGTACTGACTCTCATCATCAAACTGCAACAATCAGTGAAAAAGATCCTCTCCCTATCTTACAATCTCAAATTAATTCCCAGAAGTTTACATTTACAGGTGAATTTGCTACCACACATAAAATTGCTGGAGGCTTCTCAAACTGTATGTTGTTCTGACATGTTTCTCCCTCCATCCTAAAAACATACAACTTTTCTTTCAATTACAAAATAATGTCTCTAGATCAATTAACTTGGCAGCCCCTCAAGCGGGATATCCTCTAACGACAGAAAGGAAACACATCTGGCACTTCTGTGCTAACAATACATGACAAAGGAGAATAAGGAAGAGTATAGCAGAAAAAAATAAATTTTAATTATTTTGCCCTTGAAACCCAAGAAGAGACATAACTAGTTTCACCAAGTACTTTGCTGCAAACTTTTTCACATCAAACCTGTGATAAGTCATTTCAAATTCGTAAAAATCCTTTATTGCTTTTCTCATTTTGTTTCTACAGACTACTTCAGTTCTGACTCAAAACAATCATGTTAAATTCAGTTTAGGCAGCAGCATTTACTTCAAGTGGCAGAACCTCTTCTAAATCGACACAAAGCCACAAGCAGCAGTGCAATCCAAAGTATCCACACCAGGTTCTTGTCATGCACAGTTATTAATTTTATTACAGGTGTATGCCCAGGAAATCTTAATACAGTAAAGTAGCCAAAAGATTATATACAAATCATCACCTTGGTGGGTAAATGCATTTCAAAAGAGCAAAATTCATTGATTCAAGCTGCTAGAATGCTCAAACTTTCATGATACAGCTCATAACTCACTGCTCCTTTAACCTCACAGCCTTCAACTTCCTTTTAGAGACCCTATATTTCAAGACAGGTCTTGCAAGTGTTTTCTTCAATTCTGACTCACGTGAATGTCCAGTTATAGTCATGGGATACTCTCTCCATCATGTCCACTTTGGCCCCTGGCACACTACAGATCGGACGGTTCCAGCTGTCCCGAATGCGCATGTAGAGGTTTCTGTTGTAAAAATTTTCAAAGTCCTGGTACAATGGGACAAAGTCCTGAAACACATCAAAAGCACTCAAAGTAAAAGGAAAATATATATGACAGCAAAATAAGAGTAAGTGGAATATTTATTTTCTGTCATTCTGGTGTAATGAAAAAACTCAAGAAAACACAAAACATAAAGTAACTCACTTCATTAAATCATGGGCATATAACCTTTGCAGGAGAGGTTTAGTCAGCCTTCGAGTTAGCAGAGCAAGGGAACATGCAATAGCTTTGTGGCACTAAACAGTATGCATTGCTGTATTGAATATACAAAGACTTTGAAAACTAAGGTGCTTTACTGTACTTTATTCTGTGCATAAGGATGCATTTAACATAGCACCACTAGCATTATTTTACACATTACCATTAGAACCTTCCACAATTTTTTGTTTTCAGTAGAGGCTAATAAGCTACATTATGGCACCTCTGTTCTGCACAGCTTATCAACACTGAAGTCCAACATGATTTTTATGAATGAGCCTTTCCTGAATTTTAGCTTCCCTTCCAATGTCTTCCAGGAAAAGTAAGTGACTGGCTTGAATGGATAACACAAGAATGTCAAAATAACTGTGGCAGCAAAGACATCTGAGCACTCAAGAACATTTTTTTCTTGCTCCAAAGTCACAAGTTTCCTTTTTACTATTTAATTAAAGAAAGTCTGACATTTAGTAGAGATAAGAATGCATAATTAATTTGCTTCTCTTGGGGAAAAAAAAAAGCACCTTTTTAATCATCTACAGAAGGAAAAAGTAGAATTTATTACAAAGATAAGAGACAGAAGAGCATTTCTTCCTGTTTTTCACAAGAAAAATGCAAACATTGTGACGAGAATTTTATTTTTGGTGACAGTATGAGAAAGGCAGAGTATCTCACCAGGTACTATGGTGTCAGACATTTGTACCACTAAAGCAAAACTGGGAGCATTTATGGCAGATTTTTAATAAAAACACCTACAGGCACTTACAAGCTCTTACTTACAATTCTTGCCTGTAGGAGGAGTACTTTTTTCATTACTTTCTTATTTTAATGATTTAACAACTTTGTCCTTGCAGTCTGGAGTAAATGAACATTTAAGTCCAGACCTTTGCATCCTCCTACCAGCAGCTACATAGAAAAGATCAAGCCCAAAAGTGCCAACTTTTGGCGAGCAGATACAGTTGCACCTAAACACATTTCTGATTTGCCTGAGCCAAAAAGGCACAAAGACGTTAATTTCCATCATTTCAACGATGGAAAAACAACCCAAATTAGCTAGCAATCACTCTTTCAGAGAATCACAGGTATGTACTTTTTCAAAGACAGACTGTGGGAATAAAATTTCTAGGACCTAAGATGCACAGAAGGGCAATTATTTCTTCCATCTTCCTGTTGCAATTCATGTCACAAAATCAAAATAATTATCTACAATGGTTTCAAACCCTCTGCTATGTTACTCGTAGAGGGGTGGGGGAAGTGAGATCAGAAAGAAACCCTGGCACATTAGAAGATCAATACTTGAGAAACTTGTTAAATCTAATTATAATCTACTGAGATGATTCTAAGTATTTTCGACTCCTCTTAACAAGAGCTCAGCTTTGCAATAGTTATCCAAGCACACCAACTATGTGAGCCAAGAAACAATTGATATTTTAGCCGAGGTTCTTGGCTAGGAGGGGGAGGCTGGAAATGAGTCATTATACCAACTCAAGCAGGTATGCCTGGGTTGATATAGCCCAATCCCGCTTCAGATTACTCATCAGATGAGTTTTCTTTTGAAACTCAAGCTGACAAAGCCAGAACAGTAACAAGCTTAACTGGTGAGATAAGGACAATCACCTACAATAAGCTGGCACCACCAGCATATGTAACACAGGCGTGATCTTAAAAGTCAGCATTAAAACTAAATTTAAAGTTACTGTGAAATAGAGAAGTTCTCTAAACAGATTATGATAAGGAAAAAATATGTTTTAAAAGTCAACAAGAATTCAAGGAATAAATTATGGGTAAGGGAATTAAGGTTTAATATGGGACACTAGCTTTAGTTTTTCGGGATATGAAGTTGTAGGATTATAGTAAAGGGCTTTAAGTGTAGGTATCAGCACACTGTCTACTCCTCTGTTATCTATACATGTACTGCTCCCTCCAACAAACCATCCTCAGATAGGTCTCATGAAAAAGTTCCTTGGAATAGGACAAGCAGGAAGTGTTATCTTGGCATAATGCAAAAAAGGATTGTCTGTTTCCTCAGTTATCCTAACCCCACTGAGGGGTTCTCATGACCCATGCATCTGAGAATGCAAAAAACAAAGGGTAAGGATATTATGCCTTTATAAACTGATACTGACTTCTGGAGTTTCAGAGCCCTCTTTTGGAGCTGGAATACAGGAGCAGATGGTCTGCTGGTTGATTTGGGGGTTGGTTGATTTGTTTGTTTACCTCCTCCATCCTTCCACAGTGTGGCATTCCAGATGAAGAGTAGATAGTACAACAAAAAGATCACCTGAATTCCTTATGCTATTTTAATGTTTTTAATCTTTGAACAAAAAAAAACCCCAAAAAACAAACAAACAAAAAAAAACCCAACACCTGGGGAGGAAGGGAGGGATGAACTCTATCAATCTATACTTTTCACCCAGAGGGCACTGGAAGAGGCTCCCAAGGGGAAGTTGTCACAGCACAAAGTCTGACAGAGATCGAGAAGTTTGGAAACCTTCTCGGCACATGGTGTGACTGTCTGGGATGTCCTGTGCAGGCCTAAGAGCTGGACTTCAATGTCCTGGTGGGCACCTTCCAACTTAGCATATTCCGTGATTTCAAATTTTTGACACATGCAGCCACAGTGCTCCGCTGCAACAGCGTCCTGGGCTGGAAGCAACCTATGTCACCTTTAAATGGCCTTCAGATCTTGTTATTTTTCTATCAAGTTCTCATCTTATTTCAGATCCAACACTATTCCTAGCTGTAAGGGTCACTAAGAAAATCAGTCTAAGATGAAACAGTTTCATTCAGAGGAGAAATATACTGGGAGTTGCTTCTTTGAGCAAGCTTTGGATAAAAGAGTCAAACAACTGCAACACTGGACTCACAAAAGGGAGCAAAAGCAGCAAGTGCTTTCATTTATGGAGCTAAAAAAATCCCAAACAGCTCTATTCATGTCAATTTCAGCCTAGAACACATTCCCTATTAATGAGGGGATGTCTGATGAAGAAACCGACATACTAGTGGTCTCCCAGAAGCCTGAAAAGTACAACAACTTCAATGAAAAGCACAGCCAATCAAGGGAAGAATAAAATTCTTCCTTGGGGTGCAACACCTTAGCATAGGTGATTTGGGAATCCATTATTTCATCATACTCCAAATTAATATTGCAACAAGTGAAGGTCATAATGAGAGCTTTGTAGCCTTTAGCTCAGGGCACAGGGACATGCAAATGCAGCGATTATGCTACTTTTAGAGCCAAGTTTTCACAGCATTGCACCTAAGCTAACAAATGGTGCTATGAGCACCAGCAGGGCTTATCTGCAATTCGCATAATGTGCTCTCTGGTAACACATAACTGACTCTGAACAGAAAACTAGCAGACAATTGCAACAAATTTCAGGCTTCTAAAAGGAAGGAGAAAGACTAGTTTCATCTCGCTGTTACATGAGTCAAGAAAAGTGAAGCAATAACTGTGGGTAGCGTTTGTATCATCAGGAGGCCTCTGCTGAGCTACACAGATGCTAAGACAACGCATAGAACAAACGACTCCAGTTTACTGCCCCTGAAATACTCCTACAGCTCGACTCCTGTGAACATGTGCTTGAAAACTCCAGATGCTAGAAACACACAAACTGGGCAAACTACAAAACATGGAGCAGTATATTAGAGAGTTACTAGCCCCATTTACGACCGCTCCCAAACACAAAATATGTAAAGCAATCAACAGGCAAATCAGACTGGAGGAAAGGTAAAAGTGATTTTCATCTGGCCTGTAAAATCCTGGAAGCATTTTGCAGATTTAACTATACTGTATGACCAGACAGCACAATTAACTGGGTATGCATAAACTGATTCCAGGGTAATTGTTAATCTTGCCATTTACTCATGCCTATAACAGACCAGTAATGCTTCAGAGAGGACGTGCTACACAACACTGGTTTCCAGGAAAAGCTCCGCTGGATATATTTTAAGCAAAGCCAAAACCCATGAAACTATTTCCTGGAAATCAGTACTAGCAAAGTCTGTCCCTCTTCACCCTTTTGTGTTTCAACAATGAATGAATATTAGGCTTTCCTGGAATCATTCATATCAATGCATGCCTCTAATAAATTCCAAGGAATTTACCTGCCATCAGAGACAGTTGTAATTCAAACCTGTTCAAAATCCTGCTCCACTCTTTAAATTAGTTTGGTCACTTGCAGTTTTCCAGTTATGATGCAGAATAAGAATATACTATTAAGTGACAATTTAAGGAAGGACTTGCTCTACTGAAATAAAGTGCCCTCCATAACACATAAAAACTGAGTCTTTTCCTCGTGTTTGCTTTGAATATTATTTTGGACCTAAGTTTATGCTTTTAAATGTAATCACCTTCAGAAACACACCACAGAAAATCCATATACTTCAATTCCATCATTTTCAGAATAGGTTCATTCAGCCCTTGATAAAATATTTCCTCATACTACGTGATTTTGTAATTTTTCACCTCTGCAATTACAAGCTATTTCAAAAAGGTAAGGTTAATCCTTTTGCTTGACACTTTAAAAAATCATAATAACCTAGTGGGCTCTTCAGAATTTCAATAATAAAAATGTTACTTTCCACACAGAGGGAAAATTTCCACAAATCTGCCAGAAAGCACCCCAGTGTAATCACAGGAGTTCTCTGATTTGCATGTATTAATAATAATAAGCAGTTGAGTTTTGAGCTTTTTCTGCACACTAGTACCTGCATTCCCTTACCAAAAGGTAACTGGGCTGTCATCCAGCAAAGAGACTCAAATATTGGAGAAAATAATTTCAAAACAAGCAACTGAGCACACACCTCCCCTCCACCTCCTGCATCAAAATGGGCTCCCACACTAAACATGCTAAAACGTGCTCTCATCAATTCATTTGCAAGCAAACAAAGCTTAAAGTAGCAAAGGGTGAGGATAAGTACTGTATGTTCTAGACCTCACATGATTGCTTTTCTATTTGTCTGATATCAGAAGCAGCTATTACAATCTAAGTGCTAGAGATATGATTTGGGGAAGTACACTAAGCTGAGATTTCTTCAACATCAAAACTTTAAACAGGATTTCCTATATCTCATTCTTACGCAATATTCACTGGCAGTTCTTATTAGCTCCATCCACAGACATTCTATGAACAAAACAAAACCAAAACATGTGCATTTCTTCTTGGAAGCCATAACCGACACAGAAACTGAAAGAGTTTCAATTCAGCTGTCCAGAAGGCATACTTGTTAAGATAATGTCTTTCAGGGTAAGATGCAATGCTGAGATAATTTATAAAATAATTCAAGGCTACATTTCTTTTAGGAATAGAATAATCTTTCGCTAACAATCTCTGTGCTTCAAGGACCTCTGTGGTAACCTTTAGTGAGAGCCTAATATCAATAATGTGTTACTGAATTAGGCCTACTGCCCCCTTTTTTACACTCATTCATGTAAAAGCCATGACTGCTCCTACAGAAAAGGGCAGCTGTAAGCAGTCCTTACACACTGAAACAGGACAAACGCTTCACAACAACCATGCAAAAGAAATGTAACAATTACAGCATAGAGTAACTGCACCAACACTTCAGTCACTCCTTCAAATCCTCAATATCATTAATATGTACCAATATTTAAACTTTTATTATAATGTCTTGGAAGTTTTCTGCAACTGTTTTGACTGTTCTCTGCTGTATCAACTTCTGCTTTATACACAGAAAAATACATGTGTCACGTTTCATGACACAAAACGTGTGTCATGTTCTCAAGTGTCATAAACCAAAGTAGCTCAAAAACACTAATGAACACATCAAGTTTCAAGTTGAGATTTTACCAGTATTCTTAATCAGATATTTTAACTATTGAAAGGGATCCAAGGTTTTTATTTTCATGTTCCAGAAGTCAGTTTTGGAAATAAATTTAAATGCCTGTCCTTTTAACCAATATGAAATGCCTTTTACTCATTAAACACTCCTGTAAGAATGCTTCTGTTTTGGAATTTAGTGCCCTATTACCAATCTGCTTAATTCTACCTCACAACGTTCAAAGAAAGAAGCTACTGTGAGGTAATTTTAGGCACTGGTCCTTAGCTAACTACTGTAAAAAGACATGCACTTTATTCCAGTGCTGTCTCCAAAAAAAGGCTCTTTAGAGCCTTCCCGTTTTTAGTTCCTCCCTGCCACCCTTGCATATTTGTTTCCTTTACTGAGATGTCCTTTCTGCCCCCCTATTTTCTGCTAGCCAACTGCTTGTGTGGCTGCACAGAAAACCAGAAATCAGCAACTGGAAAAGAAACTCCCATAATATTTTATTAGCCACATTGGCTCTCCAAAGCAGTTGAGAAAAACAGAACCCAAATCAGCAAGAGTAATACCTTTGGAGAAAGCTCATTGGTAGTCACACTCTTCTAAGAGGGCTCACATTAAAATCTTGCAAGAAAATAGCTTGTGAACTTCATGTTTCAACAGTAGCTTCCTAAACACAATTAACTCTTGTGGGGAATAAAGATCTCTAAAGATAATTTACAAGTACTGAAAATCAGAATTATCTATTCCAGGCTAACTACTGAAGCAGGCAAGACCTTTCACCTGGTAACAGAAGCTTTTGTGAATAGGTCTTAACATGAATTAATTCTTTGTAATCACTATCAGTGAGCCACAAATCAGTACCTCAAATTACTCACCAGCTAGCCTGCTAGTGTTCTGGACTCCAAAAGAATTTGAAGTTATACAGCTTTTGCTCTGGATCTGACCCACAAGCTTTTCTTTACAACTGCTTCAGATAAAGAGAATAAATAACCTTTCTGAATCAAAACTCAGCCACCAGAGCAGCATCAGAAAGCCTCCCATGATGTCAAACTAAAACCAGAGCCTTTCTTCAGGTACTGATGCTGGAACATGCAGTCTCTCTTCCCCAAATTCTTGTTTCTGCAACTAGAGGAGCTTTCAGCACATTGATATAACTGTTGATGCAACTTTGCACTGAGACAGATGAGGAACTGCTCTGAGGAAAAATAACTCAAAAGAAACAATTTTTTACGACACGGCATTACTTGTATATTATTTGGGGCATCCAGAAGACAAGGAAAACAGCAGAAAACTTTGAACACCTCTTCTCCTCAAAGAAACACTCAAGCCTCAGCCACATCATTTCCCATCAAACATTATTTCCCAGTGGTTACCTTCTGTTCTTCTCTTTCTGTTGCATTTTGACACTTCTCAATCTTCCACTGCCGCATGAAATCTCGCAGATATCCAAAGAGAGTGAGAACACCATAGCCTACATAGGTCAGCACAGCAACCAGCATAGGTGTTTCTTCAAAAGCTTCATTGAAAGGCCTTTTGTATAATCCTCCATTGTGCACAATATGATTTATCTATAGTAAAGATTTAAAGAGAGGCAGTTGAGGTATTAATTGAAAAAAGGCAGATAGACATTTCAGAGTAGTCCCCAGCCCTGTGGTCAGTTTTAGGCTCTGCACCCCTCACCACTCAGCAAAATCTGCTTACAGCTAAGTTCAGCCTTTACGGATAAATACTACCAGCCTCCATATATGAAGATGCCAAGCTGCTCATATAACCCACGTCACAGTTACCAATCCAGGGCAGTTTAATCTAACATCTCATTAAAATATTTAGTTTTCAAAGCTACATACAGAGCATTGCTTACATCTAGGCAAACCAAAATGAAAAGAGTGCCTTCACCAAGAGGGCACAAGTAACAGAACAGTGACGCATCTCAGGATTACTACAGAGAAAAACAAAATAGAAAGTGATAGTTTTATTGATCTAAACAACATATTCTCAGACTTGGAAGCCTATATTAGTGTAACAAAACAATCATAATCCATGTGTCTCTGTAGCTGTTAGCCTAAGACGCTGATAGAAACACTGCACTCATCCATGAGGCAGACATGACACCACAGACAAATAAGTCATTGTATATACTCTCAACACAGCATATATGTCAGCATACAGAACAAAGCATGGCTTTCTGCATAAAATCCATGCTAAAAGTCATCTTGCTACTTATATGTCATATAAAGGTAGATTTACTAGCTGCCTAGTGCATACAGCAGGTCTGTCTCAAGTATAATTACTGGAAGATGCAATATTTGCAACTATAACAGAAAAACTTCACAGCTACAAGGCAAGTGCTCACCCAATATTAACACTGAGGGAAAAGATCATGGTTTTAACTAGACTGTTTTTTCAAATTGTTAAGTTAAAGATGAGATCTCATAAGTCAATGAATGAAAACATGGAAATCTAGCCATTAGATGCAAATTGCTTTCTGAATGGCTATGTTATAGAATGGCTGCACAATAATAGAATAGGTACATATGAAAGAAGACTCTACAAAACATAAATCCCCTTTGTGTAGCATCAAATACATATAAAAATAAGAAATGTATTTCTTAAAATGTACTAATCAAAGAAACAACAACACTTAGGAAAGAGATTGAACCTAAATTCATCAAGAAAAGACAATGGCAAATCATTCCTGAGGAGTCTGAGCCAGCAGACAGAATAAAACCAGTTACTTGCCTATGTCACTCATCATACGGAAAAGTAAGGTAGAATCATACTAACCTCTACAACAGTTGATGAATTAATAAGGCACACATACTTGCTGGCATCACCAGACACTGCATTATTTGGAAAGTGATACCTGCTCATCTCAGGCGCTGGAGTAAGTCTGTATTTCAAATCCGTCATAAATATCGTGAAAGCAATTTTTCAGAAGCAAGGGGCTGCTCTTAGCAATACAATTATGCTAGAGCTATGCAGTCACCACATATAAACCACAACAGCACCTTCCCTCCTGATTCCTAACTCTTCCCTTCTGCTGACACAGTTTTAAGCAAAGCAAATCCTTGCTTTGGTCACCATAGCTCTGAGGACAAGAATATGTCTAAGTATGGAAACAAAATAGCTAAGACAGAGTAGGAACTTCTTTTTTAGCAGCAGCACTTAAAGACAGACGCAAGTAACTAACCTGCAGTGCTTTGAGGCCAGGTTTAATACTGAAGTATTATTTCCAAGAACATACTGCATACACTGGTAGGTTAAGGTAGAAAATTACCATGGCTTTGGCACAGGTGTAGGAACACTTACTTACTACAGCTCAAGTACTGGCAATTTAAGGCTTTAATGCAGGCCAAAGGTTCATACACTGTTCTCTTCATGCTGGCCGAAGAAACTACCCTTGCCCCACTCACTCCCACTTTGAGCCATCTGTACCAGCCTCCAGCTTGCACAACTAAAGCAACTAAATCTGATTATCAGCATAGCATCCCTTCAACACTGAACCAATCCATGTTGAAAATATAATCGTTTGTAGAAGGTTATGCATTAGACCATAACAGTCCTTACAGTCATAGAGAGAGCTCAGCAAACAGGAAGCAGCAGCTTTTAGAGAGAGAGGAAGGGCAGCAGCACCATGACAGTGACAGAATCAGTGAGCCAACACTGCAAAGGAAAAATCATGGAAGCCGCCTCTTCTCTATTACTCTCAGGATTGCTTAACTGTATCACTATGGCTCCTGTTCACAAAACTATAGAATTTTGTTGCATCCAGATACAAGAAAGATCATGCACCAAAGCTCTGACCACCACAGTTTCACAGCCTGGGGAATTACAAGTTGAAGTTTGCATCCTCACACTGTCAGATCAGGCTGTGATAGCAGCTGCTCAGGAGCAGGCACACTACATACCTGCCACCTGTGCCTGCCTACCAGCACCTGATTTGTGGATAAGCAGACAGAAAACTGGTAGTGACTATTTCACAAATTACCTAGTATTGAATAACTAGAGAACACATCAAAGCTTCTCATGTCTTTCCCAGGTAACTGGAAGTTCATCTGGAGGAGATGAAAGGCTACATCCTAAGATAATGGATCTGAGGTTACCAAACACCAAAAAGTAGTTACTGAAAAAAAAAAAAATTAGAGACCCAAATCTATATGCAAACTTAATCGGAATAAAAACATTTTTTCAAGTCTTTGGGGGTGGCTGTGCTTGTAACAAATGCTAAAACTAAAAAACCTATTCAATATGGGCAATCCCAATATTTCACTAAGAAAGGCTGTTTTAGGAATACCTGTATTGATTCAACCTATACTTCAATCAATTTCACTTCTCAGTGTTCTTCCACCTATGTGCTAATACATCCTTAAATTTGCACATCAGCTGAGAAGCTTGTGTCATCCTAGCTGAATCAAAAAATTAAAGACTGATTGCAATTCCACAAACTCCTCATGAAGCATATGACTATAAAAAAAACCTCTAGAATTTGACAACAGAAGAGACATTTGTAGTCACATTAAATACAAGCCTATTTGTTTTTCTAAGAATGCCTTATAAATCCACACATTAGCCTTCCAATGAAGGTTTATATGCTGCAAGCTCCAAAACTGCTGCAAAAGAACACCAGTTTTAGTTCCAGAGACTGAGAAACAAGGTGCCTACAGTTCAGTGCTTAATTTCCTTTTACCGGGAGGACAAAAAGGCACAGAAGATTAAGACTTTTATGACTTCAACAAGCCTTATGATCATAAAGTGAGCTATGACCTTTGAAGTAGAATATACAGCATATCCAAGTACAAAGAAAAGTCAGAGTTCACTTAAACACATGGTTCAAAGAAAGTACCTGTATGCTCACCTACACCTCTCTTTCCTGTACTGTGCAGAGTACACGTATGCAGAAGAGCACCATCACATTAAGAAACTCAGCTGCAGGAGAATCAGAGAGCACAGCTCAGCTGGTTACAGAGGGCAGCAAAGAACCAGCCACAGGTAATGCCTGTGCTGGGCCAAACTCTTGGAGAAGCTGATTTGAAATCACATGAAACAGTTTTATAGCAGTTACTGAGCGGCAGAAGCAGAATTACACAGCTACTGCTAGAAAGGACTCCACTGGTCTAAGCAAAACACATCAGAGTCTGATGATAATCACAGAATGTACTGAGTTGGACCCAAAAGGACTAACGAGTCCTGCTCCTGGCCCTGCACAGTACAACTCCAAGGGTCACACCATCTATTTGAGGGAGTTGGCCAAGAGCTTCTTGAACTCTGTCAGCAGGTTTGGTGCTGTGACCACTTCCCTGTTCCAGTGCCTGACCACTCACTAGGTGAAGAAGTTTTTTCTAATATCCAACCTAAACCTGCCCCAGAACAGCTTTATGCCCTTCCCTTGGGTCCTGTCACTGGCCACCAGATTGAAGAGATCAGTACCTCCCCCTCCTCTTCCCCTCTTGAGGATGCTGCAGCTGCAATGAGGTGTGCCCTCAGTCTCCTCCAGTCTGAACAGACCAAGTGACCTCAGTGACTCTTGGTAAAGCTTTCCTTCTAGATCCTTTCACCATCTCTGTAGCCTTCCTTTGGATGCTCTCTGTATCCTTTGTGAGTGAGAAGACAAAAGCCATGCACAAACGTGGGAACATTTGCAGATTCTACTGTAGACAACACACAGGACTCTGGGCACACCCCTAGCATTGCAGGCATGCACTTTAGGGAGAGAAGACGCTCCAAGTGCAATACATGCTGCACACAGTACGAGAGCAGTACACAGTAACTGCTTATTGCTGCTACCCTGGGAAAGGTCCAGCACTCTGTATTAAAGAGGCCATTTCATTTCATGCTGACAGGAAGAACAAATTCAGAACCTGGCAGACTTTATGTAAACACATTAAAAAGATTATTTATGCCAGAATACAACTTTGCTAAATTCTTATTAAAATTCAGTAGCTTCTCATTGCCACATACCACACATGCTGCAGAAATTTTGCTAACAGGTTTGCCGCTTCTATTTTTAGAAACACACTATGAAAGACCACATCCATGAGTGTGCCTCTGTATGCAAAAGTGGTCACAATCATTACAAAGGATTGAGGAAATCAGCACTACAGAAACCACAGCAGGGGGAATTCCATGAAGGTACCTACTCTAAACTGTTAGATTTTCTGTGGTAGTTTTACTGTCACCTCTAGCCTTTTTCCTTGCACTGCTTTGCTTAGACTTCAAATCTCAGACTGTTGCATGGGTAAAAAAAACACGTGTTTATTACCAAAATTAGAATTAACTGGTTTGAATTATATTTTAAGCTTTAAAAAAACCCACAGGAAATAAACTTGTTTTATAAAATAGACTTTAAGAGTATATCTTTAATTAAAGATTTGTTCTTCTTGATAGGTATTATTAAATATTTTTATTTACAATTAGTCATAACAAATTTGACAATCCTTGTTTAAGATGCACTTACCACATCTACAAAAGCAGTGTAAAACTTCACAATCTTTAAAAGTTGTTTGGGTCTGGGTTCTCCACTGCCCCCCATTAGCAAGTAAAGGATGCAATTAAACTTGGGGTTTTTTGC